ATTCAAAATGGAAACACATTTTTTGTGTTTTCATTTTTAGTAAAAATTTATAAACTGAGACTACTGATTTATAAATCAAAAATTTTACCAAACAAGTTTTTATTTGAGTTTTTTAAATTTTTATAAATATAAATAAAAAACTGAAAACGTAAGTGTTACCAAACGACACCTTAATAATTTAAAAAAGAAAAGGAATTAGTGATTGATATAGAGCAATGTCCCAATGACATTTAATAATTTTTCCTTTCTTACTGGTATAATTATTGAATTTTGCTATCATATGCTTTTAAGACATGATATGTGTTAAATTTTTTTAAAAAATTGTACATTATGTATGAAGTGTGTAATAAAAAATATATAATTTTTTTAATGGTCTTAATCTATGTATTAAGAACACTCATTAACAATACCCTTAATTATTTTCTCTGTGGTGAACTAGTCTCCCGTCTACTATTATTGACAAATTGCTAAGAAGAAAATTTAATTGTATAGAAAACTTATTTAACTAAGTATTTTGAGATTTTATTTTTTATTTTTTTTTGAAAATTCTCCATTGTAGGAATTATTTTTCAAAATTTTAAAAACTACGTTTATAAAAAAAAAATGATGAATATTACAAGCATAATTGTTTTCAATTTTTTTATTTTTCAAAATGCCAAAATGAAAATATCACCACTTACAAAAAAATTTATGAAATTGCCACTGTTCTTGACTAGAAATGAATAAGACCTTACAAACAAAAAATATGTAGGCCAATTGATTACTTTTATGTTTAAAATTGCTATTTATATTTACACAAAATTTTAAATTATAAGTAAATCCATTTTTTTGGTTTAAAATAAATAAATAAAATGTAACAATTTATAATAAAAAAGAAGCTATTTTCATTTATTTAAAAACAAGTATACATTCATTCCTCCCATCTCTAACCCTTTTGGTCGCCACCCATTACCACCGTTGACCATTGCCACCGGAGATCCTCTCTTACTACTGTTGGTGGTGACTCTCTCCTAGTGAATCCCTCACCTTTGGCTACCAACCACAGTAGCCGGCCAACAAATTTAATGTCTCTCGTGAGCCTCCTCAATTGATAATTATTTTAGCTATCACATCTGATTAATTCTCTCATTTGTTTTCGAAAACAAGTTTTGAAAGATACATATGTAAATCAAGGAGAATTCTACAATACACATCCAATACCATATGTACCTTTAGTTACATTATTTTCTTCTTTAGTTATGAAATTATTTTGAGATATTTAGTTACCTTCATGTAGGGTTTGATTATGACTTTTACTTTTTATACTCAAAAAATATAAAATTATATCATTTTTTTTTAATTATAAGGTGCAGATAATATACACTGTGTACCAGAATCTTCCCCGTATATCAAACATCACATTTTACTTAAATACACATTGACGTTGGACCCATGGACATTAATGAATCAAAAATAAGACTCCATATGTTGTACTAAAATTTCTGCCAAACAATCACTTGAGTATGGGTTCCAAGTGAACGTGGATCTCACACCCTATGGGAGTATTGTGTCAAATTTTTGGTAGGACATGGTATCCCTAGTATTGCTCTTAGGTTGTGTTTGGTTTGAGAATTTAAAAAGGAAAAAGAAAAATGACGGCGAAATATTAATAAATTATACATACATTTCACTTAATTTTATACACATTTTTCATCCTCTTTCCAAATCGCTTCCCAAATCATTAAACCAGACACAGCCTTAATGAATATGAACCAGTCAACATACCTTTCTATCATCGTGTACAGATGCATTGATCAATGTAGTAGCATGATAGAGATTGAAGAAGACAACAAACGCTAGAAAGGTTCCTGAAGTCTTCATGGCTTGTTTTTCTGTCTCTCTCTGTCTGTGTCTCTCATGTGATGGGAGTGGTAATTTACAAGGCGTTAATACATTTAGGAGTGGTAGGAGCACCATGTCATAATACTGCAACGGCTTTCCTCAGATCTCTCTGTAAGCTGTGGAGGGTTTTGTGGCTTCCATTTTGGATCTTCATGATTTGTTTCACAACTGAAACCAATTCATGTTTAAAATGTATATATGTATATAAGGTATACTTTGAACTTAGTCAGAGGAGACTTGTTCGTTTCTTTTTGTGCATGGCAAATTTGTATTGCATGCGGGGTAGTTCCACTTTCTTTTTTTCTTTTTTTTTTTTGGTGGAAAAAAATAAAAATTAGAGGTTTCTAATAATATAGGAATAAGTCACCCAACACAAACGAATGGGTTAGATTTTTTTCAAGTTAAAATATGAATTTGAGAAAAATTTGAGGGCTTATAACGGATGCTATTTCAATAATTTGAACTATTTATTTTTATAAAACTCCCAGTGCATATCATCTATGAAAAAAGTTCAATCAATTTGATAATTGTAATTTTTTTTATTTTATAATATTTATCTCAAAAAAATAGACGAATAAGTATGTTTTTTAAAATCAAAATTCATTTTTTTTTTTTAGACAAACACAATAAAATGAAAAGGTTATGATTATTGGATCGATTTAATTTTTTTCTTATGGATAATATATATGAAGTATCTTACAAATTGAATAATTTGAATAATTAAATGAGACTTATGGTGGACCCTACAGACTCTTAAAATTCTCTCAAGTTTAAATTTAAACTTCAAATAACTCAATCTTCAACAAATTGTAGAATTGGACAACACATAATATGTATGAAATGAACTCATAATTTTTTTTTTTTAAATAGACCCCCAAATAGGGGTGGAGGCGGATCGGTTGCGGCCACGAAACTTCCAATCCGCCATCTATCTGCCAGATTGACGGATTGGAGAAAATCAATCCGTATCCGTCCGCCAATTCGACAGATGTGGATTGAACGGATTGGCAGATTGGCGGATGGATGCAAATCGATTTGGCGGTTTAAAATTTTATAAATTTTTAACATAATTCAACTTGTACACTTGCTCAAAAAAGAAAAAAGAAAAAAAGGGTAATACAGTCAATGACTTAAAAAAGAATTACAATCACTGCATGCCTCATCCACATATTACAATAACAACATGTCTCATCCACATAAAGTACTACATAAAGTATTACAATCTGTGATTCTTAAAATATAAAAACAATTCAAACTACCAAAATCATGAACCGAGTAGTAGTACAGATTGTATGCCTCTGTATTGTTACATCTATATCAGTTTTTGAAAATAAAAACCAACTAGCATATATCATATTTTTTATTTATTATTTTTAGAGTTAGATTTATAAACAAAAAAATGTAGATAAATAATACATTTATTTTTTACAATTCAAAAAAATATATTCAAGTTGAAAACTCTTTTTCAACAGAATATATTCAATAGAATATTTAAACTCCTTTTCAATTGAAAACACAAACAGAATATCTAAACAAATTAAAAACACAAAATCTTACAAATTACTAGGGGTACTGGTGATTTAACAATTTCGGTTGCGGCCAAAGGAACCTCAAATTCACCATCCGTTCAAAACTAGGTGGATTGAAAAAAATTAATCCGCAACCGTCCGCTCGTCATCACGCATCTGTCTAAAATGCGGCGGATCAGTTCGGGTCGGTTCGGGTCGGATGATTTAGGCGGATCGATATATCTGCTACTCACCTCTACCCACAAATAAATTTTCTAAAATCTTGTAAATATATTTCATTTGTAGTTCAATGATTGATTCCTATGTTAATAGGAGAATTGATAATATTAAAGTCACGAAGCGCGTGTTTTGGAATTTATTTGTTTGTTTGTTTGTTTTTTTTTTTTTGTGTGATTTTTTTGGTGGTTTATTTTTGTCCTTAGTGAATTTCTTATATTTTTTTAATTTTTTTTTTCTTTTAAATTCTACTAGACGTGATGAACCGAAAAATTAAATAATTCTAAAAAAAATTTAAAAAAGACAAAAATAAGCAAAAGTAGTCAACTTTTTTTTTAATACTTATTTTAGCTTTTTCATTTTTTTTTTTAGAATATTCAAAAAGAAATTACATTTTAAATTTGTCTACACAAGGCAGACAAAGAAAGAAAATTTTTTTGACATAATTTTAAAAAAAATCACTAAAAATAAAAATGAAAATTTGAAAAATTGGGTGGCTTGTTTGGGAGTTACTGATGGGTTGATAATACATGATATAATATCTAAATTAAATAAAAAAAAAAAGGGTTTGGCTTTTCTCAAGTTGTCATCTAAACTTGAGATAATGATTGAGTTTGACAGGTCCATTTTGAAATTTCGGTGATTTCATTATTTGGATCATTTAAAAAATCAAAATGACTAGATATCAATAACTATATATTTGAATCATACTTGTTTTAAAAAAATAGACAACAAATATAATTTTAAGAATAACCATCCATTTTTTTTGTAACACATAGTCTGTTTGGTAACCATTTCGTTTTCAATTTTTAGTTTATATTTACAAAAATTTTAAAAATTGTCATAAAAACTTGTTTGATAATTTTTTTGGTTTTTAAATGGTTATTTCTGTTTATAAAATTGAGGAAAAAACGCAAACTCAAAAAATGAGCTCACGTTGGTTTTTAAACAAAAATTTAAAATTTTGACTAACAATATTTTTTTTTTCAAATATTTTTTTTAATTAATTTTTTTTTCAATTATAATGTGTATGATCCCATTATCATAAATATTAAATATAGCGACCTCGATTTTCCCTCCATTGATTATTGTATTCCGGACTTAAGTTTCGTGGAGTGGATGTTATATATATCTTGTTTCCGTCCTTCAATACTTTGTATTTGAGTTATAGGATGTTTTGGGCAGGATTGTTACAGGTTGGGAGTGATTGGGAGCAAATGGTTGCTGCCCAGATTTTTTTGGTTCTTCGCTCGAGCGAGACTTTTGTCGCTCGAGCGAGCTCTGTGTTTTAGTCCCTTCGTTCGAGCCAGGGTTCCTTCGCTCGAGCGAGAGTTGAGTTTTTGTATCTGGTGGCTCGAGCGTGAAGTCCTTCGCTCAAGCTTGCGTCTGCGTCCAGTTCTGGACCTGAGAGCTGTAATCCTTCGCTCGAGCGAGCTTTCCTTCGCTCGAGCGAGCGAGGTTTATGTTTTGGTTTTCTTCGTTCGAGCGAGCATTCTTGCGCTCGAGCGTGCTTCTGGGTTGCAGACCTGAAACTTCGATTGTTTGCTCGAGCGAGGCTTTCTGCGCTCGAGCGAGGGTTCTTTGTGTCTGGTCGCTCGAGCGACCAATCCTTCACTCGAGCGAGCCTGTGTTATATCAGTAGGTAGCAGCGGGATTACACTTCACTTTTTCATCTCCTCTTTTGTATAAACCCTAGATCCGGCTGTTCCTCTCTCTACACTTATCTTCTCTCTAGGATTTCATCTATTTTTAGTGATCTTCTACCCTAATCTCTTTGTAAGAAAGATAGAGGGTGACTTGGGCTTTGTTTTAATTTGAAAAATCTTGGATTTGGAACACATTGGGTTTTGGTCATCATCTCCATTTGAGCTCTCCATCTTGAGGTAGGGATAACTATTCATTCTTATGGTCTTTGACATAAACTTGTAGTCATTTTGATTAAATGTTGAGAGTTGAGAAGTTTGGGTGTTAGGGTTTCAAAATGTGAAAAAAAAGGGTTTTGTTCTTTGGGCCAATACATGTGTTTGTTGGGTCTTAAAATGAGATTAGTGTTGTTTATTAGTGATATTTGGACCTTGGGGTCAATATTGAGAAATGGGAGAGAAAACCCTAAATTGTTGTATAAATTAATTAATATAATTAATTTGGGAAAATTATGGATATGTGAAATTGAGTTGGAAATAATGAAATTGACTCATTATGAGATAGAATGGTGGAGTGGGAATTATAAATTACTCACCTTCGAAAATTGTTGATAAGTTATCTGTTGGAGGTAATTATTATCTATTTAGAAATAATTGCTTGGGGCTATCGGTGGAGGATAGTCTTGATTGTTGTAGACACTGCATGATGATTAGGTGAATTAAAACTAATCGGTTGAATATGTCATTGAATATGATGGTTGAATATGTCATTGAATATGACGGTTGGACTAATACATCAAATATGTGTATTGATTGATCAGGTATATGATAATTGTTTATATATATTGTATTGTGTGGGAGAAGATAGGGGATGTACTCTATGGTTTGGGAGGAGATAGGGGATGGACTCCTAAACCGGATATTGTTTGGGAGGAGATAAGGGATGAACTCCATTGATACAACAAATTTGTGTATCATTTACGAAGTATGGAAGTGTTTTGTTATGACATTAATACAACAAATATGTGTATTAATTGTGAAGTATGGAAGTGTTTTAATATGAGTTATATGCTCATTGAACTGAATTGTTTGGCCAGGTTCTGAGCCATAATTATGTTTTGAAATTGTTAAGTAAAGGAGAAATGAAATGGAGCATGGACATTTGTGTCATGGAACTGAATTGAGTCATGAGTTGAATTATATGAGTTAAACACTTATCAAATGCTAATGTTTTAGTCATTGTTCATATTATGTTTAGCATATCTCTACTGGGCTTTGGCTCACTCTATATGAAATATCATTTTCAGGTTCAGGTGATATGCTACCTCTAAGGACGTAACTTGGAAGGTTCTGAGAGTTGAAGACCTTTTTGATGTCTTGTTACTTTGGTATTATATGTAAACTCAAGCCAAGGGCTTAATATGTATTTGAGTTAGTACTCTCTTTTTTTGTAACCAAGTGTTGGCTTGGAAAGTTGTAAGCTTATAGGGCATTTACTTTGTTATCAATATGTAATATCTTTCGTAAGAATACTCTGATGAATGGAATTGAGTTTTGTTTACTTATGTCTATGCATGTCAATAATATGGGTTTCTATGGATTATTTTGAGGGCGTTACATTAAAATATAAATATAAATATTTTAGGTCTAAACAAACATATTTTTTAGTTTATGTTTTTAAAAATTTTCAAATATTTTGTTTAAATCAAATGCGTTTTTAGTTTATGTTTTTCTAAAAATAAACAAAAACCAATTTATAAAATTTTTGTAAACATAAATAAAAAAATGTAAACGTTTCCAAATGCTACATAGTTAGCGATATCCAATCGTATTAATTTTTTTGCATGAATATTCTACTTAATGAGTCCTAAAAAGTGAACGGTTAGGATCATCAAAATGAGAACTATAGTGGACTTCATGGACCACTCAAGTTATCATATATTGAGATGTGAATATGAGAATAACCTAATGTAATGATGAATACTACACAGATACTAGATTTTTGAAAAATTAGAACCTTCAACAATTCCTACAACAAATTAAAATTTTAGAGATAAAAATTTAGGAACAAAATTATTTTTTAAAGATAAAATAGTTTAGTTGTCAAAGGTGTCATTATTATACTTTTAGCAATGAAATTGGACAATTAATAATAAATTACTATTTTTTTGGAATCAAATCTTTTGTCTAAAAAGATAAACCTTTAGCACCAAATTATTTTATATCTAAAAGTACATTTATGGCACTATTTGACATAAACTAAATAAGTGAACTTATTTAGATAAGTGTACTTATTTGGGTCACATCACCTTTCTACTTTTTTGTACATTTTTTTTTGTAAAAAGTAAAAAAATATACTTATTTAGATCATTTCGAACAACCTTGGTGCACTGATTTAATGTACCTAATCAAAGCCTTAAATTTTTTTTACAAGTGGTCTAAGTATAGATAGGGTGCAATTTGGACAGGTTCAACATGAGCAATTTGTGCCCAATCCAAAAAAATTTAGGAAATGGGCAAAATATTTTCGAATTTGGTATGAATTTGAACAGAAATTCAGAAGCTCGAATTAAATTTGGGTGGGTTTGGATAAAGACATCAAGCAACCCAAACAACCTGAAACCTGAATTGTATATATAAATATAAAAATATTAAATATACATATAAATTATTAGTTATTGGATGATATTAAAGTAATTTAGATTGTTAGATAATATTGAATACACACAAGTAACATAGCACAAAATCTTTTTTTTTTTTTTTTTTTTCACTCATAAATTGTAAAGACCACAATAGCGGCATCTCTCTTACATTATATAAATTATTTGTTTTGATATTATTAATGATTTTATATAAAAACAAATGTAAACAGAGTTTAATTTTAACAAATTAAATAACTTATGTGGACTAAAAAAAATTATGTGCAATTCGGACAATTTGAGTTTAACTCGAGTTGGACATGGGCAGACAAACTCGGGTTACAATTCGGACTTGGGCGACTCTCAACACAACTTGGGTTAGACTTGGATAACCTCTTAACCAGCCTGAACCCTCCCGAGTTGTAGCCCTAACTTTAGAGAGGGACTTATGGTATCACGCCCCAAACTCGCCCCTAAAAGTTTGGGCATGACCACTTCCGAAACGGACAGATAATACGATATATACAACATCTGTGGCCTGAACGGAAGCATTTAATAATTTAAAATAATATAACTTAACATCCATCGAGCTCACACCTATATGCCAGGATCTCATTGTGCCATTCAACAGTTCCTTATATGATAGACATGTATACAAGAGGCAGATATATGCATTCACACAATAACATATATGGGCATATATACAAAACCAGCCCCACACGTGGGCATATGGAAAAAATATTGATAAAGGAAATTATACACGACTAACTACATTAGACAAAAGACTAAGGACCAAACTAGGGGTCATTAAGGGAACCCCACAAAATGGACAGGCTTCTTTACATGGCTTGACCAAGAAGGGGTGACCAAAGTTGAACTAAGACCGTCTCCCGGTTGATTGCCTACAGAAACAAACATAACACAAAGTGAGCAAGGCTCAGTGATTAATAGCACTCAAACAATTTAAAGATAAACTCGAATTGTAATGTTTATTTCGTATAAAAGTGCAGAGTCATATCATTAATCTTATCTTGTAAACATTTTCGGAACGGTCTTGGGCCTGATTATTATACAGAAAGGCTTCAAGCCCAATACCATCCAGGACGACCTTAGGCCCAACATATCTTACAGATCGGCCTCTGGCCCAGATATTAATAGAGCAGAGTAATCCCAGAGTCGTACCAACATACGCAGACTTTCCAATCATTTATAAATGTTAACGTAATTAACTCGCAGAAAACAGAGCATTAATAATAATAACTATCATTACACAGAATGGCCTTAGGCCTAGTAGATTATACAGAATGACCATAGGCCTAACAGATTATATAGAACGGCCATAGGC